GTATGCAAAAAGACAATTTCATATCGCTTATGGAGTGGAAGAGCCATTTTTTGACGAAGATATTTAGACAATCACTCCACATGATTAAGATGATCAGCATTTTTACTCTTAATGATTTGGCGTAATTGATATGGTATTACAATGATTCGAAGTTACTTATGATCGGCACTGTATGTCTTGGGTGAATCCCGTAAACAATAATACATGTACTAGATGTAATTCGATATTGTAATTTTTCCGTGTCTTTATTAGTACATGTACATAGAGTGACATGACAATAAGGATAATACTATCGCTACGTATGAATACGTAAAAGGCTATATCGATCTGCGCAACTGGTTGTTATATTGGTTCTATATTGGTTCATTAAGGGTTAACGTTAACGTTAAATTTGGTTATTCCCGTATGTATGGTTACTGCCGCCATTTGGGCTATTTGTTTATTTGACAATCACTTCCGTTGAATCACACAATAACGATAAGGAAATGAATGAATGCTATTGACAATGTATTTGTAACCTGAGTTAGGATTAAGGTTCTGGATGTGATTGAAGTTGTTACATGTAACAGTTGTTACAATTAGATTGATCCTTTAGGTATGTTCGTAATCGATATATTAAAGAAATCCTGTTTTGTCGTTGTTTCTTTATATATAACTGTAGGAGAACATCTTTTTCTCTCGCTTAATTTCTTATAATTCTTTGCCTACCACTAAAATTTCAAGAAAAATGTCAGGTATTTTTAAAAAAATCGAATCATTGGTCGAGAAGGGAAAAGAAGCTCACGCGAAAACATGGCATAATTGGGCCGGAAATATTGTCCTTGAACCGGAATTAATTTTTCATCCGAAATCGTTAAACGATCTTCAAGAAATTGTGAAGAAAGCGAAAAAACACGGCAAGAAAATTCGATGTGTTTCTGAAGGACATTCATGGAGCACGTTATCAGTTACAAAAGATTATCTGGTTATTGTACGTGATATGCATCAAATCCAAGTGGAAAAGAGTGAAAAGTATGGATGGACTATTACTGCCGAAGCAGGTAATCATATTATCATATTACACGATTATTTCATAGGGTCGGATCACGTGCTGATGGTGGCACAAACCAATAAAATGCGTAATTATTTATCAGCCTGGCAAAACAAGTCTGACGCAAGAAAATGAAAAAAGCAAAACATGTAAAAAATACGGGAAGCGGATGCTTAAATCTAATTCGGTACATTAAAAAAATGTCGGGAAGGCAATTTTACATATAAGCTTAGCTTGACCTCTAGCCCTAACCCTAATCCTAACCTTTAGATTAACCTTTGACAATAACCGGACATACACAAATATCTTATGATCTGATCCTTTTTTCCCGTCTGGCTAGGGTACTAATAAACGACATATTCATCTTACATAATATTTTATATAAATAGGTGCTACAATTAAGCAAATGGACGATAAACTACGCCAACATAAACCACCATTATCATTTGATTCAATGACAGTTTTATCTTCAGTCAGAGCATCTGGTATAGTTGCTACCGGATCTCATGGTGCTAAATGTGCAGGCGCATCGATATCCGACCAAGTAGTTAAATTACAAATTGTTACAGGTGATGGAGAATTACATGTGTTTAGTGACGAAAATGATCCTAAAGAAATGAGTGCAGCTAGAATTAACTTAGGTAAAGAAATTTATTCTTTATTATTCTTTAATTGAATAATGGAATTCATTATAAACTGCATTATATAGGATTACTTGGTATAATGTACAAGATAACGTGGCATGTACAACCACTATTCAAGCTTCGCATGATTGATTTCCAACCACCAATAAAATCGTGGCTTTACCCAGCAACTCTCAAAGAATTCGTCGAGAAATCCGACAGTGTTGAAGTCTTTTATTGGCCATTCAACGAAAGTGAACTCGATAGAAATGATGATAAACTTTGGGTTAAACAATGGTTAAGGACAGACGACCCAATCACCACCTCACAAGCCGAACTCGGGATGGAAAGAGTTTGTGAAGACTTGGAAACGAGATTCGGGGACAAATTATACCAATTTATTGTTAAATGTCCCGAAAGCACTCCTTATATCACTAATCTTTTGTGGAAAGCTGGACCTGTTTCGAAACCACAGAATGTTGTAATCCCAGCACCGGATGCTATTCATTATCAGAGTGGCATTGATAATATACTTTGCGACGATTTGGAATTCACGTTTAAGGCTGACAAAGATTTTGCAAATGTTGCTGAGGAGTTTAATCACATTGTTGATTCGGTAATAACTAAATTTTTCATTAAAATTGCTGCCATCGTTTCGAAGATTTGCTTTATTTTTAGTAGGTATATGCTAATGCTTTATTTTTTTGGCAGGTATATGCTTATGCTAAGAAAGGTAAATTCCCAATGAATCTAGCGGCCGAAATGAGAATTCTTAAAGCATCACCGTCACTTTTGGCATCTGGCTACGATGAAGATCCAAATGCTATATACTGTTTCATCGAAGTGCTGGCCATACGTCATACGTCAGGGTTTGAAGAATTCTCTGCTGAATTGGCCACAAGATGGATGAAAAAATATAAGGCTCGGTAAATATCGAAAGTTTAAGATATTGCAAAATTAAAATCGTCATACTATAATAAAAATTTGATTTTTTCAATATAAAAATAGACCACATTGGGCTAAAGCTTGGGAACACGTACCTGGCATTAAACCATATTTGCGTGAAATCCTAGGCAAACGATTAGAAACGTTTGAAAGTGTTCGCGTGAAATATGACGCGGATAAAATCTTTTTCGATAATAAGTCTTTGGAAGAAGTGTTTTATGGTTCTCCAAAATCTACATTTACAGAATCACATCTCTAATTAATACAGTATACTTTAAACCTATCGCTATAATTTATCAGTCAAAATTTATATATGGAATTTGTCAACTTGGTATAATGAGCTATTATGCAATAAATTTGAGCGTGATTGGTGATAAATACCGTATAGCGCTGCTTAAAGCACCCCCCTTTTTCGGGCCACTTATGCTTTTGCAAAAATAAATACAAACCGTAAACTCTCGAATTTAAGCAACCCACTACGTCATCAATTTTTCGTGGGGTTGCTTAAATTCGGAGTTTGAACCTGTCTTTAAGAATGGAAGTACTAACGATTAGGATGCATAGTCAAAACTCTCGAATTTAAGCAACCCCCACGAAAAATGATGACGTAATGGGTTGCTTAAATTCGAGTTTACGGTACAATTTCTTCAAAATTTTTTGTACTAATTAAAGTTAAAAGGGGGGGGGGGTACTTTATGACAACAATAAGAATTTCCTAAATATTGATATTGAATTTAGAATAAATATTTTTACTCAAGTAAATTATACAATGCAGTGGCTCCCACAAGAAATAGAAAATTTTCTAGAATCCTTGCCAATATTAATCCAACCAAAATAAGTATTCTTGTGAAATCGAACGATTCAGAAAATTTCGAGATTCAAAATTTATTAGTAAACAAATAGTCGAATTAATGTTCCTAATTGAAAGTATAATTAATTAATTTAAAAGTTATTATAATAAGTAGGAGATACAAAGAATTTCGCGTTTCTGAATAAGGTTGCTTGCCAAAATATATTACGTAAAACCTTATACGTAAAGCCAAAAATTATATTAAACTCTTATTAAACCCGGAGGTCCGATGTTTCGGCAGGAAACTTTATTTGTGGATTAAAGAGTTTGGGAACACAATCGAATAGGTCGAGTGTAAATTTCTGCGAATCCGTGGTTGGAATTAAATGTGAAAGTGCGTTAGTTTGTTGTTGAAGATGGCTGTATATGTACACCCTATCGCTATAATTAGGCATTGTCGAAACTTCAAGTACGTATTTACCGCAACTATAACTAGAATAGGCAATGATGCAATAAATACTTAACGTTAACGTTAAAGTTTCATGCCGAAACTAGTTTTTACCTTGGACTTGAGTATTTACTACGTACATCCCTAGTTATAATGCTGGCTGCGGAATGAAATAAGTTGAAGCACATGCTTCCTTTCTTTTCTCCATGTCCTTTTTCTTGAAGAACATAGAGAGACTAGAGAACTGATATTTGTCACGCGAATTAATTCTCCATATAATAGAATACTTGAACAAATAACGATTAATTCCATCAATGCTTGTCGTATTGGAATTGCTTTGTAGTCAGTCCAATGAGATTAATGGCAAAAACACTCGTTGGGTAACTTGACTTTGTCTGATTCTTTAACCGAATAATAAATAAAAACCTGTCATTTGTGCAATAGCACATGTGTTGGGCGAAAAAATGAGTACAATACAAGTTTTTTTCTATAAAAATCCTTCGTCAAAAATTGCAAGAACAAGAAATCAATCGCTTTTTTTGAGAAAATTGTTAGACGACATCAATTCAAATATACATATTATTGTTTTCTTACTCTGTCAATACATTTATATAACGTTAAAAACATCAATTCTCGAAGACATCATTCTCAATTCTTACGGCAATAACTTGCTGTTAGTTTTAAAACCTTCTTTATAACTTATATTGCCAGATTCTATCACAAATACTTTACACAAGAAAGTCCATTGCCTGGTCCAATCCCAATTCCATTATTCGGTAATCTTCTTCAGATGAGAAGCGATCCCGCAAAATTCGCATTTAAAATGCAAAAGAAATACGGGGAAATGTGGGAAGTTTATATTAATGAAATTGTATTTTGGATATCAGGCACAGAAAATGAAGGATCAGGTTCTAACGCAAGGGATCATTTTTAATAATCTTGGCACTTCAATCGTAAATTCCTTACGCATTCAATATCACAATTACTATTTAAAGTAATGGGAAACTACTGGTCAATCTTGGCACCGACTTTCAAAGAGATTTCGCACAATGGATGCCTTGTTTCACAATAAAGTGACAACAGAAAACCATTCTATTCTCTCCTATCATACTACAACTCACTCGCACCAACCAAAATAAAAATTCCCGGTTCGATGATAACAGAACCTGAAGAATTTTTGCGTTTGATACTGAATTGGTTTACTATGCTTGCATATTTTCATTTTCTCCAAAGTTTCATTCGTCATTATCTTCCAGGATTTAGACAATAAACACAAAAAGTTTTGGCAAAGAATAACCAATTGTATGAGAAAGCATTGAAAAGATCGAAAGTCCGCCTGAAGTTCCTTTACAAACTGACATTCTGACGTCATTATTGATTGCTAATACTTCTCGAGACGTAAATTACTAATGATAAAGATTCGAAACCGCCAACAATTAATGAAATTAGACAAATAATGTTGGAAGTTTTTCTTACACGGTATTTTGTTTTTTTCTCTTATATGCTCACAACCAACAATTGACACGAATATTTTAATCTACTTATACTTTAGACTTTAAATTCGTTGTCAATATCTGGATGTAAAATCCTGTCTTTTACGAGAAATCCATCAAATCTTTGGCACAGATCCAGACGCAATACAAAACCCAATAACCTACGAATATCTCGACAAACTGATTTACACCGAAGCAATAATAAAAGAAGTAGCACGCATCACACCAGTCGCACCTCTCTTATTCAAAGAATTAAGTCGTGATGTAATTGGCGGCTCAAAATTCAAACCTGGGACAATGTTTTGTGTACATCAACAAGGAATACATCTAAGCACAAGATATTGGAAAGACCCGAGAAATTTATCCCGGAGCGATTTGTAAAAGATAGTGAATTCGAGGAAAAAAATCTCGAGAATACGTATATTCCGCTTGTTGATGGTCTTCGTATATGTCCCGGAAGACATCTCGCTATGGAAGAATTGAAGGCTTTGACAGTGCAAATACGATGTCCAATTGGTGGATTCCAAGTCTCCATTAAGGTATTCTTTTGCGGCGCTTTCATCATTGTAAGCAATTGAAGGTTACGATCCGGCCAAAAAAATAGTTAGCTTTTCTTATACAATCCAAAAATTCAAAAAACCATTGTTTTAATATCGTATAGAAGTCATCATGAATAAAAAACTTCATCTACGTGGTAGATTTAATGAATTACATGCATACGTATCGATATATTTTTGACAATATTGTATACGTATGTTTATTCTTTAAACATACGAATTAACGTTAACATGTAGATGTTATTTGAGAAATAAATAAATTAACAAAAAATAAATAATCAACATGAAAAGCAGACATTTTATATCACTGTAGCATCTCAAGAGACGGATGCTGACACACTTGAAGCGGCATCAGCCTTTGGAACTCCATAAAAAATTTCCTTCAAAGACTCATTATCGAAAAACAATTTCTCCGGATCATATTTCGCTCGAACTTTTTCGAATTTTTGTATTTGCCCGGATAGTGTATCATGCAAGTGAGGTTTAATGCCGGGCACGTATTCCCAGTGTTTAGACCAATGTGGTCTTTTGTAATTATTGGAATTTCGGTTAACCAAATTACAATGTTGGTCGTGAAATTTATGAAGTTATAAAATCTAACGTACCGCGCTTTATATTTGTTTATCCATCTTGCTGCCAATTCAGAGGAGAATTCTTCCCACTCTAATGTTTTTCGTACGGCGAGTACTTGAATGTAGCAGTAAATTGCGTTTGGATCCTCATCGTAAACAGGCGCCAAGAGTGATCGAGACGATTTCACGAATCTGAGTTCAGTTGTAAGATTTACTGGAAATCTGCCTTGTTTAGCATATTCGTATATCTGATAAAAAATAATGCTTAGTAACAAATTAAAAATAAAAATAAATATAAATATAAATATAAATATAGAAAAGCTTGTTATTATTTACCTTAGAAATTATAAACCTAAACTCTTCGATTGCACTCCCAAACTCATCTTTGCCTCCAAGTTTGAACGCAAACTCCAAATCCTCATATGGGACATTATCACCACCAATCTGATGATGAATGGCATCTGGAGCATGAAGAACATGATCTTGAGGTTTAGACGCCGGTCCAGTTTTCCATATAAGATTCGAGATGTACGGCGTACATTCCGGAGAATTCACAAGAACTTTGTATAATTGATTTTCGCCGAATTTTGTTTCGTATTCTGCACGAATACGTTGTCCAGCTAATTTTTTGTTGGCAATCTCACTACTGTTTTCGTCGTCTTTGTGTCTAGTCCATTGTTTCACCCAAAGTTTGTCATGTGTAAAATCGAATTCACTCTCGTTAAATGGCCAGTAGACTATTTCGAGACTGTCAGCGTTTGAATAGAGCTCTTTAATCGCTGCTGGGTGAAACGATGACTTGAGAAGAGGTTGGGAGTCGACGAGACGTAGATTGAATAATGGCTCTACGCGCCAAGTAACCTTGTAAATAATGCCGAGAAGACCTACGAAAATTAAAATAAAACTTTTATTATTATTGAGAACTTTAATAGTTTTCTTAAATAATTCATAATTTACCTAAATTAACACGAGCTGCACTCATTTCAAGCGAATCTTTTTCTTCGGTAAACTCACGCAATTCACCATCAGCAGTGACAATTTGTACGGAAACAACTTTATCAGAAACGCATCTTGCTTCGAGTCCAACACCATACGACCCGGTCGCTACAATACCAGAAGCGCCAACTGAATCAAGTTGGGTCATTGAATCAAGAGCCAATGGTGGATTATGAACTCTAAGTGTGTCGTCAATTTGTTTAATGGTTGCTCCTAAATTCATTTAAACAATGTTAATATAAAAATTAAGTACGATCCAATATATCAAAACGATAAAACTCACCAGCATCTGCAGTAACAATCCACCCATACTTTTCACTTTTCTGCACCTCAACTTTTGCCAACCTGTCCACAATAACTAAATAATCCCGCGTAACTGACAACGAACTCCACGTGTTACGTCCTGAGGAAACACACCGAATTTTTTTCCCGTGTTTTTTTGCTTTTCTAATTATTTCTTTAAGATCCTTTAATGAGCTCGGGCGGAAAATCTTCTCTGGTTCAATGTAAATATTTCCGGCCCAATTTTGCCATGCTTTCTCGTTAGTGCTGCCTCCGTTACCAAAGATATTTGATGCCGAAACATGATGTTGTTGATGATGAAAATCGCCGCCGCTTCCGTGGAAAAATTGTTTTGATTTTTGAAGCGATTCTTTGCCTTTTTCGATTGATTTGTCGATTTTTGATTCGAGTTTTTTGAAGAGGTCGCTCATTTTTTTTTTCGAGTTGGAATTTTGGGTTTCATCTTCAGATTAAATATCTGCAGACAAATGCATCTAAATTCCAAAATGTAGTTAAAATTCAGAAGATCTCCAACAACGCCTTACCAAATGTGTGCACCAAATAAAATAATTCACACGACCTTTTGTTAAGTTAGAGTTTGGCGTTTGTATGTTACTTTTCATATGATAATGACATCTTTCTACCAATCAAATTTTTTCTTTAAATAGAAAAATAAGTGGCCACCAATAATAATGCGTAAATTTTTGATCAGCCAAACAAGAAATGAAAAAAGAAAAAAATATGGGAAACAGGTGTCAAAATCTAGCTTGATACACTAATAAAAAATGTTGGAAAGGCATTTTACATAAAAGTGTCTCTAGCTCTAGCTCTAGCCCTAACCCTAACACTAACCTTTAACAATAACGATAACCTCTATTATTGTAGAATTTTTCCAGACATCACAAATATCACATGACCCGAACATTTTTTCGTCATGGACGTATTGATTTATATGCAGTCGTACCTCCATATAACCACACCTTCAGGATAAAAAAAAGTGTAACTTTAAAGTGTGTGGAGGTCAAATTTCTTATAGCTATTCTTCATAATAACTGGGACCGGGAAAAGGTGTGAATTGGTGACTATGTAGGTGTGACTGTATAGAAAGGTATAAAACATAATTTTGATTATGATGTTTAGATGTGGCAGATTTTCTTTGCGTTTATACAGTATCATTGATTGCGGTGTGCATTGTTTTTAAATAATTTGGTGCAGGAGCTCTTAAATCGACGATATATTTGTTTCATCTTATAAATTCTATTAACTTCTTAATTAGGAAATAAATACAAAATTTAACCGGTAATATTATCAAGAAAGTCCTTTTCTATAATATCGATATTACCGGTTAAATTTTGTGTTTACTTCCTAATTAAGAAGTTAATAGAATTTATAAGATGAAACAAACATCGTCGATTTATCGATGCCTATGCTATGACAGTTTACAAAATAAAAATGTCAACGTAACCCAGTGTTGGCATTTGGCCGTTTAGTCATTTGGCTGTAACCAAATGATCAAGTAACAACACTCGTAGTATGTGCGTATATAGCATTGATATTTCATACATGTGCATATCGATAAGGAAATTGAATTTTAATACGTATCGGTATGGTTATCAGATATTATTGTTATACATGTACATAGAAACAATATATATTATCGTTATATTTTATATTTATTAAATGCTATTCATATCGTTTACACTTGATCCTTAATTAGCTCAAAAGCTAAAAAATACTACAAGATTATAAAACACCAGATGTCAAAAGAGCAAGAGCAGGAATTCCATGTACCGCTCCAGGGAAAGCAGCGAGCGGCAAGACTTTTAAAAGACCTGGGTTTGTGGTTGATAGAGCTGCAATTACAGGTACAGTTGCTTGACCAGGTCCAGAACCAAGAGCAACCAAGGATGGCAAATTGAAAGTACGTTTATTGACGACAGGATTTTGAACCAAAAGTGGAATTGCAGCACCAAATGCAGCCAACGCTGGAACAGAGTTTACATTGTTGTTAGCGATAGGCACAGCATCTACTAAAATGCTGCTGAAGATTGTGAAGATAGCAGCAAATGACAAAAATTTGCTGAGCATGTTTATAGACGCGATATTTTACTGTATATGCTTTAGGATATTTATTTTTCAAAATTAGAAATTATTTTTGGATAATTCTAGACTTAGCACCAAATAAATATTGTAGTTAGCTTCATGCAATTTTTGCTTATGATGCAGTATTATCATCACCGATTAATGGAGCTGATGTAAATGATTAATTAAGGAAATTCGGAAAAATCCCTTGGATGGGAATGAAGATAATAAATTAATTGCTTATCAGCATTCTTCATAATATTTATATTCGTAAATTATTCAACGTTGAAAATAGAATTTCCTGTAGAAATATAGATGTCATAACGATGCATTATCAAAGAAAATATTTTCTGGACTATATTTGCCGCAAATTTTCTTAAACTTCTTAATATCTGATTGTAAAATGTTATAAAGACACCGGGAACATATTCACAAAATTTACCCCCAATGTGGTCTAAGATTTAAAGTCAGAGTGTGCTACTTATATACACTTAGTTTTATTAACAAAACTTGACATAATGCCTTGTATTGTCCTTTTTGCTCTACTTCTGCAATAAATTCTTCGTATCCAGAAGTACCACGAATACTGACTGGATGAATTCAAAATTGTATAGCATTCGGGTCTTGATCGTATCCCGGAGCAAAATTTGACAAGCTTTCGTAAATTGAAAAATTTCATTTTCCATTTATTAAAAATATATTTCTAAATTGCAATTTCTATTTTAGGGAGCAATATGACAAAAGCTTCTTTGAACTCAGTGAAAATGATAAGTGCTCTTTTTTAAATTCCTTGAGTAGTGACAATGGCTTGTTCGAAGTAAACTTCCTAATGTTCCTTTCTAGTCAGGTCAGGTTTTGGAAGCAGTTAATAACTATTTCAGGAGTCATCTGGAAATTTATAAAGTGTATCTGTAGAATGCGAGTTACGTATAAAATTTATGAGTGAGCGTGAGCTCAAGATTGACTGTTTAATTTATGCATGTCCAATTGGGGAAAGATGTGATAATTGTGGAACTTTTATACATGTACCCAATTGCATTACATTATACGTATGCAGCGGTGAATCTTAAAAGTTTTTCTTTATAGCAACAAGGTAATATAGTCTCGCTCGATCTTGAACACATAGATTAACTTCTGCAATTGTTAAATAAAACTTGCGAGACGAGAGACTGGAAATACTAATAGTACCTCCGTTAAATCAAAACACCATGTATAATGCTGTTATTTTAGAATCGATCCCTTTATTTGTTGCTCTTCTCGTTAATCCAAAAAGAGCGACAGGGAGAATCAATCAAAGATTTTCTTGGATTTATTGATCTTTAATTGTAAGCTTCGTATATATACAACATTACAAACGCGACCAAATCAAAGCATGTTCTATTTTAACAAATTTTGACTTTATTATATTTCTCTAATCAACAATAGAAAAATCTAAAAAATAAGCTTAATTACAAAGTAAAAATCAAAAATAAAAAAATTAAACAAAAAATTAAAGAATCTAAAATTGAAAATTTAATTTTTAATTGTAGAAAATCAAGTTCCATAAAAAATTTGTTTCAATGAATCATTATCGAAGAAAGTGTTGTTAGGATCGTATTTTTTCCGCACATTTTCAAATTTAAGAATACGGTCGCCTAATAAGTCGTGTAGATATGATTTTATTCCTGGAATCGGTTCCCAATTTTTGGCCCAATGTGGTCTTTTTAATTACAAAAGAAGTAATTCAAAATATTTACAGTGAGTCTTTGAAAAAAGTTGTCAATATATAGTAAATTTCGTATTTTATATTTACCTTGCTTGGTATTTGTCCATCAATCTCTTTCCCATTTCCTTAGCAAATTCTAGATAGTCAGGATTATTTCTGTAACTAAGAATCTCAATGCAGCCATATACCGCATTTGGATCTTCGTCGTAGGTAGTTGCTAACCATAGTGGTGAAGATTTAATTATTCGTATTTCGGCAAGCATCACGGGAAATTTTCCTTGTTTCGAGTAATTTCCAAGCTGTGACGGAAAATAATCCGAAAATTAATAATATATACATGCAAATTTTTAATTCGAACTAATTTATCATTACTTACCCTTTCAAAAAAATAATTGAATTCATCAACCACCTTCGTATAGTTATTATCAAGTTTGTAGGAAAACTCTATATTTTCAACTGGTAAATTATCAATACCAGCCTGATAGTGGATCGCATCCGGAGCTTGATAAACTGCATCGCTCGGCTTTCTGCTTTGCTTCCACAAAAAACCGGTGAGCGCTGGAGTCAATTCCGGTGCAAGGAGCATGAGATCATATATGGATTTAGAAAATTTAGTGCCATTTTCAGCTGATTGATTTATTGCTGCGAGCTCTTGTTGCGTATATGTTGGTTTGTCATTTGTTTTCACCCATTGTTTTACCCACATTACATCTTTTGAATTGTCAATAGTGCCCTGATTAAGTGGCCAGTAAAATATTTCTATTCCGTCAGATGTTTCTACTATGTGCTTGAAATTTTCGGGTTTGATCCAATCGGTAGCCAATGGAAATGAGTCAATCATTCGGAGATTAAACATCGGTACGACGCGAAAAGTGACACTATATATAACGCCAAGTAATCCTATATCCATTCAAAATTGTTAGCATATATAGGCAGTATTAATTCACATATACATATATATACCTAAGCTGATTCTTGCAGCATTCATTTCATTTGGATCATTCTCTTCAGTAAATTCATGTAATTCCCCATCACCAGTAACGATTTGCAATGCCACAACGTTGTCAGGAATACTTCGCCCTTCAAATTTTGCACCGTGAGAGCCAGTTGCTACAACACCTGCAGCTCGAACGGAATTTAGTACAGTCATCGATTCTATTGTTAGCGGAGGATCATGGTTTCGGAGAGCGTCATCGACTTGTTTAATTGATGCGCCTAAATAAAACTACCATATTAAGTCAAAATTTCATCATTCAGTCACTACCAAATATAAGATATCTCACCAGCTTCGGCAGTAGCAGTCCATCCGTACTTTTTATCCTGTTTCACTTCAACCTTCGTCAAGTTAGTTACAACAATCAGATAATCTTTAGTTAAAGCTAAAGAGCTCCATGAATGTCCTTCAGCAGCACATCGAACTTTCTTTCCCTTTTCCTTGGCCTTCTTTACTATATCTTTAAGGTCATCAACTGAAGTTGGACGAAATATGAACTCGGGTTTAACAACAACATTTCCCGCCCAATTATGCCATGATGTTTCGGAAGTAGGGGAGAAAGTGCGCTTAAAATTTCGTAAAACTTCAGTTTTTCTTCGACTATATTTAAGTGGTTTTGATTCAGTTATGTTTAAGAAAATTGGTACTATTAATACGATTATTAATAACGTTAATTTAAGTGTATGCGTCGAATATGCCATTTTTCAGTGTATGAGTGTAAATTTTTGAAATTTTGACGAAGGAACTCGAGCACTTTATATACTTTAATCATGATTTAATTCAGCAAGACGCGTATAATATTTTGAAGATCATTGCATTAATAACGACGACTCGTGAATTAGTTATTGATCTTCAATGATTAAAGAGATCTTTTACCATTCAGGATTCTCTCATGCCTAAATTTGGATCGGTGAATGAAATGTTGATTTAGTATGGCAATTGAAGATTTATTCTATTCGTCATTTCATATTTGTGGCTTCTAGCCATAACAATACAATTATCTCAAAAAGAAATATGATAACGATAATTCAACAAATGTTCTAAAAATATCGATATACTTGTCATTTTTGAGCCGTAGCGATCGTAAATATCGTATTTCGCGGAATAAAGTATTCACTTGGTAAATATTACATCATCGTTATTCTCATCTTTTACAACTTTTATGCTCGAAAGCAAAATACAAAAACTTTACTATAACTATATTCATCATATCCCCCTGGCATAATATCCTCCAATCACAGTATCCTCCTATCATAATACTAGTACTTTGGGTACAATAGAAATTATACATTATCCCCTGGTTTTTATTCCGTACTTTACACATGAATTTACTAGCGAAACACGGTAAATTTTTACTTCCTAGCTAAAAAGTGAGTCCTACGATAAAACGTACAACAAATTACGTATACTATATATACGCATATATTAATATTTAATAACTATAACAAGCAACGACTATACTGTATATAAAAATGACCATAGTTGTGTAAAGAGTGTATACACTCAATGTTTTGATACTGTTACGAGGATTTTGTGTTTCTATTAAAAGGAAGGATTTTCCTATAAAGGCGGTTTTTTGGGAGAGCAAGAGTTTTGGACAACAATTGGTTTTGCCTGTGTCGATATCTACGGATATCGTATTTGACGTTGGACTTTGGGTAATGTATGTTAAGATGTTTTCTTTATTTAATAACTTCTAAATTTAATTGAGCTTTCTATTAACTATAGCTATTACGCGTTTCTTTACCAAGATCGATTACCGTTGTCGATCTTCTAAACGTTGCCTTTTCTGGATTAAGGTCCTAACCGTCAGCAAATTCAATCAATTATTACGAGGGGATTTTACAAGTCTTATTTTACTTGGAGAATAACTGTACGCAACAATTCTGATCTTTTATTGAGGCCCGTAGGCCTTTCTTATATACATGTTTTTAAAGTTTTACATATGAGTATCATTTTTTTATGACTACACTCAATATAAAAATAATACGATTTTAAAATAAAAAGCAGTGTCTGCAAGAATTGTTTAAGAGAGAAATCATAATGAGAAGAGAAGAGATATAAGACAAAAAAAATGTTTAATGGAGACAATCGTGATTTAATTCAAGAGAACAACATAAAGAAAGATCCGTGAGGAAAAGAGAGAAAATCGTGAAAATAATAAAAAAAATAAGAAATAAAAAAAAGAACACTAAATGAAATGTTTAAGAAAGAGATCTGTGACAAAAAGAGAGAAAACCGTGCTGAAAATGAAAATCGTGACAAAAATGAAAAAGAATATCAGACGGATTATCAAAGACCAAAAAAAGGGAGAATATGCGGGGTGTAAATACAATACGTACAAATATTGCATGTAAAATCACACGAAACTTCCCACGACAAAGATAATGTTTTCTTTACCCAGGATGCACACTTTACAAATAGCATCAAAACATTGAGTCTATACAATCTTTACACTACTAACGCTAAGAAGTTTATCGAATTTGTAACATACAATCGTTTTGTGTTTTCGTTATGCACAATACGCAATACGTAATGTTACCGTAATCTACCAAACTAAGCGTCACACAAATGAGCATTTATGGTGCTTATTTTCAATAGATTTTTCCAATATTTTGTTATGCACATAATACTCGCATCTTTATACGAGCAACTAACTTGGATTTTTCGCCATTAATAAGATTAAAATGTAACTTCGCAATACTATCCTTTGACGTAACTCGGTAAACAACAGCAGCAGAAAAATTTGAATATATGTATTATGCAAAAAAATATAGATATCAAGTTAAAGCTCGTCGCTTTGGACTCAATCATACATTGATATCGTGATGAGTTAAAGAATAGGATACCTTCAAAAAAAAACTAAGAAAATGGTTATAGTCATTTTAAAATATGTGAAAATTAATAAAATTTAATGTTTTAAGTGGTGCTTAAAGATGTTTAATTTTGGTAGGTTACGATAATCGAATTTATTCCCTCCTAACAAGATATTCATATTATTGTTATAAATAAATATTTATCATTAAATTTTTATAAATTCATTTTTTTAATAATTAAATGTTTAAACTATATATATAAATATATATTATAAAATAAAGTCATTATATAAAAGTTTTCAATTTGTCAAATAAATATATCCACCTTTGACTCCAAACACCACTTCTTTGGACCCAGGAAAGGGCCCAAGTGATGTGATCCTTCAAGCACGAGATGCACTGCATTATCACGCTGATAATGATGAAATTTCTACAAGCGACTTAGAAGTTTAGCTTTAAAGTTGATCCTGATTTTTCCAATGTTGCCACAGAGTTTTTAAAGATCATATCAAGGGTAAATTTATAAAATTTATTATTTTTACAGAGTCTCAATTTTTTTTTGATAAATATCTGAATATGCAAAACAAGGTAAATTCCCAATGAATTCAGTCGCCGAAGCAAGAATCAACAAAGTTTCAAAGGCACTTTTGGCTCCCTCTTACGATAAAGACCCAGATGCAATTTATTGCCCTATCGAAGTTCTTACTTACTATGGTACACCTGGATGGCAGGAATTTGCAGCTGAATTTGGCAAGAGATGGATCGATACATATAAAGCTAGGTGAAATTAGAGCATCATCTAATTCTATTATGCAATTTGTTTTTTGGAATCTCAATTAATTCACTACATTTTTTTTACCACATTGGGGTAAAGAATGGGAATACGTACCAGAAGTAATACCATTTCTACGTACCGCATTAGGCATCATTTGAGGCAATTCGTGCCAAATACGATCCAGAAAAAAGGTTTTTCGATAACGACCTTTTGAAAAAGATGTTTTATGGATGATGAGAAAGGTGCATTTCATTTCACGTCATTTATACATGTACACAAAGATTTCTTTTGAATATATAGTCAACTCTTGTTACAATAACACTCTTTACAAAACATTTTAAATACTGTATATTTCTTGCAATGACTTTATCTCTGGCTTGTATAGCACTTGAAATAGCATGATCAAGCACATCATATGGCACCTTTTCCATAAACGACCATTCCTTTGTGTGTCTAATTTTCAGCGAAGAAGCACTCTAAAAAAAACTGCTTTGTAGTTCTATAATGCTGACGGTAATTGATTACTACCATGTTATAAACCAATCTAGCACAACCCTGAGAAGAATTGAGATAAATTCGTACTTTCAGTGATGTCAAATCTGCTTTTTTGCTCTCTTGACTCGTCGCGTTGTTTGCACTTTCTTCTTGCGTTTTTTGCTTTTTGTCTTGTCTCCGTTCTCGTCTGTATCTAGAAAATAAGTGGTTTAGGTGAAAAAAAGAATATTTACCTGGCAGATTGCTTTTCTTATACGTAGTCAGTAGATGAAGATGGTGTTAATGGCGAGGATATCCTGAGATAGTTCCCATTCATCCGTTGAATTATCATTTGAGAAAACCACGAGCCTTATGCTATTAAGATGGAAGATAAACTCGATGAGGTCGAAGACGAACCTACAGAGCCTGTCTCTGTGAGCTACCACAATCTCCTTGACCAGTCCGCGACTCGATCGTTCCAATAGGAAACGCAGTCCGGGTCTCTTTAAGTTAATGCCGGAGCTAATATCGGAGATGAGGTGATGGTTTGGGAATTGTGTGAGGAGGTACTGTTTCTGTCTTTCAAGATCTTCTTTCTGAGATTTCACGTTGGAACGCCAAGATGAAGGAAGAGAAGGAGGTGGTGGTGGTAGAATCAGCACCGTGGTTTCTAAGCATGTATTTGTCATTATAGGCTTCGTCCAGAGGGAAGTCTAGAAGTGTGTATCTTGCCCTCTCTATTCCAACGCCGAAGTGTTCTAGCTGAGACGCCGAAAATTTTAAATGCTTTCGATGTAGAAAGCAACATGCAGAAGTCAGTAAGTTTTGCTTATAACACGAAACTCGAATGCACATTCATAGATACTTTATATACTTTTGCAGTTAATAAAGAGGCTAGAATACCTGTCAAGAATAATACTGCACGACAGCTGTTAAAACACTTCGAAACCAGAAAAGTCTTTTGGCGGTTGTGATGTTTTAAAACAAAAGTTTTAAGAATGATGTGAGAAAAAATTTCAGAAAAAAAGTGAAAAATAAGAACTTCAAAAGAATGTAAGTGTTATAATTAAAGATTTAATTCCTTTTGAAGTTTAACGTTAGCGTTAGAGTAATTTATTTATCATAACGATAATTTATTTTTAGATAACAAAAAAATTCACATGTCCCTAACTATGATAAAGAAAAAAATACGTGTAAATTGTAATTCCGTGATCTTAATAGTTCGGCAGGTGACATTTTACACGTTTATATCAATTTCGCATTTAGTTAATTTTTAGATATAATTCGAAATCCATTTCTCTAATTAGTTCTAAGAACGAAAGAAAGATGCAGTTAAAAAAATAGTGTACATATGCGTACTTAATTTCTAAAGAGCCTTATTTCTCTTCTATCCATAAAATATTTGTTTCAGCGAATCATTATCGAAAAAGATTTTTCCAAGGTCATATTTAGCACGAACTTTTTCGAATGCTTCGAGACGAGCGCCTAATGCTGTACGTAGGAATGACTTTACGCCTGTTACGTATTCCCATTCTTTACCCCAATGCGGTCTATAGATAGATTTAACGTGAAAGAATAAGATGGATACGAATGTTTTTAGGTGTCTAAATCAAAATTGTACTATTATGTTACCTAGCCTGGTATTTATCAATCCATCTTTTGCCCATTTCGGTAGCAAAGTCTTGCCAGCCTTTCGTGCCAATGTAGGAAGAAAGTTCAATGTTGCAATAAATCGCATTTGGATCATTATCGTAAGAAGGAGCTAAAATTGATTTCGAGGCTTTGTTGATCCTGAATTCTGCAATTATATTCAATGGAAATTGGCCTTGCTTGGCAAGTTCAGCAAGCTATCGAAGAAAAGAAAGGAAAATCGTAAAAAACGAAGTATGAAAAATAGCCATTTTATAAATACAAAATTTACCCTCTTAAGAATATATAAAATCTCATCGGAAACATTGATAAAGTCCTTGTCAACTTTAAAGGTAAATTCCGATGTATCTACAATAATAGCGTCGAGACCAGGTTGAAAATGCAATGCATCTTCTGCTTCAAGCACAAGATCGCTCGGAAATTTTCCTGGCCCTAGCTTCCATAATGTGGCAGAACTCGTGGGAGTCAATTCAGGATTATTAAGAAGGAACTGATAAACCTCGTTAGCGGTTGCAATTATTGGGTCAGCTAGCTGTTTCTGAATAACCCAAGCTTGATGAGAAACTGTTGCTTGTGTTTGAGTTCGAATCCATTGTTTAACCCATAACAAATCTTTTGAAGTGTCAATGTTTCCTTGATTGAATGGCCAATAGAAGACTTCAAGGCTGTCAGAACTTTCATAATATTTTTTAATATTAGCAGGTTTGAGCCAGTCCGTCGCTAATGGGGTTGTGTCAATCATACGCAAGTTGAATAATGGCTCCACGCGGAATGTAACCGTGTATATAATGCCAAGAAGACCTAAAAGTATTAATAAGTTTAAGGATTTAGAATTTATTTATTTATCGAAAAAAATTTGCATGTTGTATCAATTAAATGAATGTTATTGCCTAAGCTAATTCGAGCCGCGTTCATTTCTTGTGCGTCCTTTTCGTCAGAGAATTCCCGGAGCTCACCATCACCCGTGACAATTTGTAATGCAACTACTTGGTCGGATATCGTTGCGCCTTGAGTTTTAGCACCATGAGATCCGGTAGAAACAATGCCAGACGCAAACACCGAATCTATAACTGTTGTTGAATCAATTGCCAAAGGAGGATTATTGCTGCGAAGTACTTCGTCAATCTGTTTCACTGATGCACCTATATTGAAAATTTATCATAAGACAAGCTCATTTACAAAACGAAGCAAAGTAGAATGATAAACAATACCAGCTTCGGCAGTGACAGTCCAACCATATTTGACGTTTTTTTGCACTGTAACTTTAGTCAAATTATTTACAATAACCAAGTAATCCTTGGTAGCCGATAAAGAACTCCACGAATGTCCATGCGCTGCGCAACGAACTTTTTTCCCATTCACTTTCGCGTTTTTCACAATATCCTTAAGGTCATCTACAGTATTTGGCCGAAAAATATATTGTGGATTATTTGTAACCGTACCAGCCCAATTGCTCCATGTTTTCTCAGATGTAGGCGCGAAAAGTCGTTTCAATTGTAGGTGTAAATCATTACGAGAATTAATTGGATGTGATTCTGATAACGCGAAAAAAGTGGCGATGATTGTTGTTATAATTATTACGCGGGAAATTTTATTTAGGTAATCCATCGTTTATTTACTTTATCAGAACTTTTTTTTTTGAACTAATCCAAGTGCAAGGAATTTATATTCTCTCGACAGTATGCACACGCGTGTCCACAAATTTACTTCTGCCTTAAATTTATGGTTTTGTCTAACGTGAACGGGACAAATGTTATTCCATCTAATACAGTCACATCAATATCGATATGTATTGTTCTGCATAACTATCAGTGTCTCCAAAAAAAGTGTTACATGTATATGGTATTTTGCATTACAAACAAAAAAGCACATTTTTTGCCATACTCTGTCAACATGTCTATTAGTAACCTTTTTCTCTAGCATCTTACAACATGAGCTTGGCATGCAGTAGACAATGAATGTTCTATCAAGAATATTGAAGAATAAAAAATTAGGTTATTATTTGTGTAATTGTAATTTTTGTCACCGCAAACATTTTCGAGACACACGGCAAATAATATCGATATCAATATTATTTGTAACAAATGCGGGCCGCTCAGAGATTGAAGTCGTCACGCCTATATTATCAATAAAGTCCTTTTCTATAATATTGCTGGACTGATTAAACTTTTTATTTAATAATTACGAAAGATTGTTTGGGTTATTAACGCCGAAGCTAGTATTATTTTTTCTTATTTCAGAAGCTTGGCTTCGATGTATTCTATTTGCCATACAATCGAAAAAAACAATACTTCAAATGGGTAAAATAATAGGATTCGCCAACAGTATTTTTTCAATACTCTATCAATTCACGGCTAAACATCTAATGCACTATCATTTAAACTGGACCAGAAAGGAGCATTAGGTGTACAGTATATGAAGCATTAGATGCGCTCCATTTCAATCTAAACTTGTTATTATTCCTTTGAATGACTTAGAATTTTAAATTCAATGAATATTATTATGTCAAGGATAAATTTATCTTTTTACATGCTTTTATTTACGGTAGCCGACATAAGTATCCGACCGCCCCTAGATCATATGTAATGTACCAAATTTTTTCACGTACACACCCCTACAGTATATTACCGGTAATATACTGTAGGGGTGTGTATAAAGAACTATATAAATATTGATAATTTATGCCTTTAGCAATCCAATTCTTGGCATCCAGTGATTCGATCTGAACAAAAATGCTATCATTTGATTCGTCTCAACCAGATGAATCGAATGATAGTATTTTTGTTCAGATCGAATAATTAAATGTTGAGATATTGCATCTTCAAATTTTTTTGAGGTTATCAGAAATAAATCAGTCACTTTTAGGATGCAGTCTAGTGATCCTATTCGAGCTAAAATAATACCAATCAATTCACCTCAACTAGGCAAATCAAATGATATATTTTAGCTCAAATCGGATTATTAAATACCAAGATATCGCATCCTAAAGTGGTCAATTCATTTTTTATCTAATAAAAAATTGATTAACAAAAACGAATCAATCACTTTAGGATGTAATATCTCAATATCCAGTGATCCGATTCAAATGAAACTATTATCATTCGATTTACCTAGTCTAGGCAAATCGAATAATAATAGTTTCATTTGAATTGGATCACTGGATATCGAGATATTGTATCCAAAGTGATTTATTTCATTGTATTATGGCATTAAAGTTTGATAAATGTAAAACATCTGATATAGAAGTTTACCGACCTATAAAAGGCATAAATTATCAATATTTACATAGTTCTTTATACGTGAAAAATTTTGGTACATTACATATCGATATGATCTATGAAAAATTAGGAGCGGTCGGATACTTATGACGGCTACTGTATTTGAATCAGTATCTGAACTAATGCTTCGGTGAAACTAGTTTCGCTAATTCGATTTATAAAGTGATTCTAAATTAGTTTCTATTTAAGGGCAAAACTGAAAATCCAACTAAGCGAACGTTTCGGATTTTGAAAAATAGTTTCGCTGAAACGTACTAATTGTAACTTACCAAACAAGGGCAATTCAGAGTCAACAAAGCTTTGAAAGCATTTTTCAAAATTTCGGAATTACAACTCACTCTCGCTATAGTGAATCTCTCGATATAGTGGAGTTATATAATATTCTCTCGATATAAGCTATAGTGAAGATTTTTTCCCTTCCCCGATGTCTTCACTATAACGAGGTTTGAGTGTATATTCACCGGAAATACAAGTCATATACCCGCTGATGTCCATGATTACATGTGCGATCATTTTTCAAACTTCATCACTTTCAGAATTCTACGAGATAAGTAAGCATTATTCGATGAGCAATGGTGGTGGACTTTCTTTAGCGGATTTATTGTCGAACAAATGCAAGTAGATTTTGTAGTACATGTTCTACCTATCGTTATCGCTATATCGATATAATAAGCGGAACGCATTATTCCAATCCCGAAGCCGGCCATCCGCAAGATCAATGTGCAACGCCTATGAAACTATCTTTCGTGCCTTACTAAAAATGTTCCTTGCGAAACCTTACTGTACATGTACCCAAACCTAACCGAGTCCTACGATAAACGTACAGTACAAGTTCTTAAAGAAGTAATGTATTGGTGAAAAAATCAATGCGTACAACATACTCATGTATAACAATACGCATT